CACACACACACACACACACACACACACAGGAAAAGGTCGTAAATAAAGAATGAGAGAAAAAGTTAAAATAGAATTAGAAAACAAGATGTTTTTCTTACAACTAAACTCTAGAGATTTATTTCTATGTTCAAACTAGTCACTACATTTAAGAAATACAACAGAGAGTTCTCAGGAGCATCTAAATTCTAAGAGCCATCTATATTCATTCTCGCAACGACGCCCATGCAGTGCAACAGATAATTCACAGCAATGACTGAATGTGAGAAAATGTTTCTTCATTCACACTCAATCATACTCGTAAGCACATTCAGGCAGTACAAGAGAGGAGTTCTCAGAAGCAGTTAAATCCAAGAGGTCATTCTGTGCCCGTAATTACGTTCTATACTCGTAGCTATAATCGCAGGTTACGAGCACAGGAACCGCCTGTCGTGTTAGCCGGGTCAAGAGGTCGCTCAGGGGGCGTGGTCACCGTGGGGAGTTTTGTTTACATTATTTGCATGTGCGGGAGGGGGGGGGGGCGGTCGTGGGTGGCCAGTCGTTGCGTTTTCCCTTGCTAATAATTCCCGCGTGGGTTCAAGGACGAGGTTATACCGGGGTCTGGATTTCCTTTTTCCGCGTTTATGTATATATATATATTTTTTCTTTCTATTTGTGGCTCATGTTTTTTATTTTTTAGTATTCATATGAAGTTTTTGGGGGGTCGTCGTCGAAACAATTTTTTTTTTTTCAACTTTTTTTTCTCGTGTACAGCCTTAATCTTACACGCCTTAATCTCTGCCTCATTTTATTCATCTCTTTTACGGCATCGTCACACTCTCTTCCGGCCATCTGTTCCCTGTTTATTTCACATCCTTTCTCCCTTTTACCCTTCTCCTATCGTTCGTAATTACCTTCTCCTCTCCTCCTCTACTTCCTCCTTCTTATGCCGTTTCACATTTTCTTTTTTGTTTTCTCTTTCCCTTCTCATAAACTTTTTTTTTCTCTCCCTTTCCTTCTCTACTTCACCCCTTCGCATGTCTTTCGAAGTCCCTTCACCCTCTCCTTCTCTCCTTTTCTCTTCCTATGTCCTTCGTACCTTCACCCCTCCCCTTCCCTCCTTTTCCCTCCCACGCCCCTCCCTTCACCAGACGCATAGAAACCCAATTAAGCGTTAAATAGACGTACGCAGTAGACTTCATCCGCATCCTGTCCGCATTTTGAAGAATAATAATTCCTTTTAATACGTTTTGCTAATTTTCTGAGAATTTGTTATATCTATCTGACAAAATCGACTGTTTGCTCAAATGCTTTCATGCTTTTTTTAATCTTTTTTTTTTCTTTTTTTTTGGTCAGTCTTGCACATAACTGTTCACCAAGTTAGCACTGAAGCTTTACCCAAGTCGATAATTTTCCCGGTGACTTTATGGCGAAAGTGTCAGCAGAATGACCCGCACTTTTTCGCTTTTTTTTCGCCCTTAGTTAAATGCTGAAAGTGTTGCTTCTCTTTGGGTTTCATTTTTAGCGTTATTTGAGTTATTTTTTAAAACTAAAATGCTAGAATAAAAAAAAAAAAAAAAAGAATTGGAGCATGCAGGCTAACGTGAAATATACTTCCGTTAGATCAAGCTGAGCGACTCCAACAGGCGGGGGCTATGCTCCGTTACCCCCCCCCCCCCCCGCCTCTTCCTATCTCTTCGGTTTTATTTTTTTAATCTGTTTCTCCTCTCTCTCTCTCTCTCTCTCTTCTCTCTCTCTCTCTCTCTCTCTCTCTCTCTCTCTCTCTCTCTCTCTCTCTCTCTCTCTCTCTCTCTCTCTCTCTCTCTCTCTCTCTCTCTCTCTCTCTCTCTCTTTCTCTCTCTCTCTCCTCTTTCTCTCTCTCTCTCATCTTTCTCTCTCTCTCTCTCTCTCTCTCTCTCTCTCTCTCTCTCTCTCTCTCTCTCTCTCTCTCTCTCTCTCTCTCTCTCTCTCTCTCTCTCTCTCTCTCTCTCTCTCTCTCTCTCTCTCACTCTCTCTCTCTCTCTCTTTCTTTCTCTCTTTCTTTCTCTCTCTCTCTCTCTCTCTCCCTCCCTCCCTCTCTCTCTCTCTCTCTCTCTCTCTCTCTCTCTCTCTCTCTCTCTCTCTCTCTCTCTCCTATTTATCTCTCTCTCTCTCTCTCCCCCCCCCCCCTCTCTCTCTCTGTGCTGTGTGGTGTAGCGGTAGCGATCTCGCCCAGCAATCTTGCTGACCTGCGTTCGAATCCCTTGCCACCAGTGGATGGTAACCCCGGCCATTCCTTGCGCACAGGGGATAATTTAGAAGCAAAATAAAACAGACAGTATGTCACACCAAGAATATCCATCGTAACAAATGGAATCAAACTAAATTATTATTATTATTATTATCTCTCTCTCTCTTTCCCTCTCCCTCTCTCTCTCTCTCTCTCTCTCTCTCTCTCTCTCTCTCTCTCTCTCTCTCTCTCTCTCTCTCTCTCTCTCTCTCTCTCTCTCTCTCTCTCTCTCTCTCTCTCTGCATTTTATTATTGTCATCCTTCCTTGATTTCCCCTCACCCCCTTACCTAGCTTCCTTCTTATCTCTCCGTCTTTATTTTTTTTCTCTATGATTCATTTCTAATGCCTCTCTTTTTCCATGTTTTTCCCCAGCCATTATTTTGTAGTTTTTCCTTATTCTTATTCTTTATCATAAGTATCTTTAGATTATTTTTCTTGCGGTTCGCTTAGTCACTATTCTTTGTTTGAGAATAGGCCTGTATCTCACTACAAAAACATGCAGTAAATGTCCTTCACATCCCCCCCCCAATAAATTAATTAATGATGTCAGCAAGATTTTTTTTTTATATATATCAGAGGAAGTGAAAGAATTTTATGATAACAAGATTTTTATGTATCGAATAAATGCAAGAAATATATGCTAACTTTTTTATACATATATAAAAAATCAATGCAAAAAATATATGAATTTTTTTTCGCATCAGCATAAATGGGAGAGATATATGATAACATTTTTTTTTTCCTTTCCTCGAAAACTGTTGTGGTGAGGATGACTCATGGGATATTTTGAGTCAATTCATTCATGAGATATTTTAATAGCTCTGTCGCGGGAATCGTGGTTCTCGCTGAGATAAAATGACATTAATTTGTTAGATTAATACAAAGATAACACATCGTCATGGTTTTAATGAGCTCCGTGTTTTCTTGTGTACGTCCGTGTGTGTGTGCATGTCTTGGAAGACGCGTTCATATGTACTTCCGCGTGGGTTTAGTGTCGTCAGCTGAGTCGTTAAAGCGCATTAGGGAGATCCTTGGTCGAGGCCATGCTCCTCGCGTCTCTGTTTCAAGCTTCGTCTTATCAGCTCGGTCGCCTACGGGGTCGGTCGCCTTATCCTGGTCCGGCGGAGGAAGGGACAGGACAGAGGGGATCCCCACCGCCACCGAGTGTGCGAATTAGAGCGTTTGATAAATGGAAAGGTATTCGGACAGACACAAGAGCTTCGGGTTAGGGCAGGGACGGAGAGGCATAAAGGGGAGGAGACGTCGAACCTGAACCTCGGCCTACGGCTCTGGGCAGAGAGAGGAAGAAAAGGAAAAGGAGAGAGACAGACGAAGAGAGGGAGAGGGGAAGGAAAGGAGAAAGACCGGGAGAACATTGAAAGAAGAAAGGCAGACAAAGGGAGAGAGGAAGAGAAGGAAAAGGAGAGAGACAGACGAAGAGATAGAGGAAGAAAAGGAAAGAGACAGACGAAGAGAGAGAGGGGAAGAAAAAGGAGAAAGGAGAACATTGAAAGGAGAAAGGCAGACATAAGAAGAGAGGAAGAAAAGGAGAAAGGCAGATGAAGAGAGAGAAAGAGAAAAGAGAAAGGCACACAAAGAGAGAGAGAGAAAGAAAAGGAGAAAGACAGACGAAGAGAGAGAAGAGAGCGGGCGTGAGGAGCGGGCCATCCCCTCGCCAGGTGGATGCCCCTTTGCCCCAATACTCGGCCCAAATAATTTTTTTTCCTCCTTTCATTCTCACGCGAAGGTCGACTTTTTTCCCCTCGTGGCCCGGGATCGCGCCGTCATCCTAACGCTGTCGTAACTGTATTCCAGAGGCTGTTACTGCATTTTTTTCCCCTTTTTTTGTGTTCCTTATATGTTCATTTTGAGGCGAAAGAAAAGGCTTTCATATCTACCGCTGAAGGAGCG